CCGAGTACAACAGAAACAAAGGAAAAGGCAACAAAAACAATCTGTGTATCTTCTTTCTTCTTGATCACCAGCAGGAGGCGCTTAGTTGATGAAACCTATTTGTCACCATTTTGACAGCCCCTCTTTCTTGTGCATGTGTAACTTGTTTGGTTGGGTGATCTGAGTATGATCTCACTGAAGCTGAAGAAACAGCTCCACTTCAGTGTCACAGTACCAAGGTTAAAGCTTTTATATTAAACCTCTGCATTAAGGGTGAGTCACAGGATCTGAGGGACCCAGGGATTGGTGTATGTAGGTCAGGAACAGGTCAGAAAACCAAGTTTAGAACTGTTTAACATTAAGAAAAAATAAGACTGTCAGTTGCCCGTTAAAGATAATTAAACAATACATAAATTACAAATAGTTTGAGCATTTCTGGATTTAAGCAGATCTGATGTTTTATAGCAAATCAGAACTGAATACAAAAACTACAAAATATATTACATGAGTAAATTTCAGATCAAGGGGAAACAATTGGAAGGAAGGACGTGAGATGATCTGGTGTGACATCACTTCCTGTCCAAAAAACTGAATAAACAGGAAGGAACCTAATCTGTCACACATTTACAACATAGCTAGCTGTTGCCTTCTGCCACAATTCGCCCAAATCCCAACTTTACTGTACTGTATATTTGTATAGGGCCAACTACAAAACCCAGCTGTTAGATATTATTTTAATTGTTCAAAGTAACTCACTTGTGGATAAGTGTGTATGCAAGCACCTAGATAATAAGATTAAATAAAGTGACCCTAATGCAGGGCAATTGTTTCACATGAACCATTCAGTTATGTTTTACATGGTAACAATTAACTGGTGTAGAATAACAAGGATAAGAATTTTTTAAAAATTATGAATTATGTGACACAGAGGCCGGATCAGAACAAAAGCACCCATGAGCATTAATTGAGCACTGTTTCTCTGCCAGTGATGCTATCTTCACATTCGTTGATGGTGTCTTTTCTCAGGGTGGGCTAATGCTCACTGAATTTTTTTATATATTTTTTGGATTTCCTCTTTTCAGAATTTATCATTTCTCATGGACTTTGAAATTGGTTAGATGAAAATAAACTTGTTTGACATGATTTATATAACATTAGTCCACAGTTATTATTAAAAGCTTAAAAAGCTCACACAAAAATTAAAATTTTGTAATTATTTTCTTACTGGATTAAATCACTCAATTCATATTGATTCATACATATATTTTATGATATTTTATGAACTTTTTGAAGCTTGAAAATTTGAAAGCTTGAATGGACTTTCAAAGGAGGGACAGATATCTCTCAACTTTCATTAAAAGATTTGCATTTGTGTTTCGAGGGTTTGGGATAACATGAGGGTGAATAAATGATGACAGTTTATTTATTTATTTATTTATTGAACCCATTTTGGGTTATCCTCTTATATTTAAAGCTGAAAAGTTAAACCTTGATTATTCCTTTATGTTTATGTAATGTGGTGTTTGGGTTTTGTCATGTTCATGTTTCCATGTCTTTTATTTTGTAATTGTTTCATGCTGTTTGTGTCATGTTTCCCTTGCCTCATGTCTCTCTGCCTTGTGTATGTGTCATGTTCTAATTGGTTGTTTTAGTCATGTGTCTTGTTTCCCATTGGTTTGTTCTTGTCATGTGACCCTCTTGTTTCCTATAAGTAGCCATCATGTTGCCATTGTCTGTCGTCGTGTATTGAATGTATTTATCCCGCTGTTGGTGAGTCTAGTCTGTTCATGTCAAGTCTGTTCATGCCTCGTCAAGTCAAGTCTGTTCATGTCAAGTCTCGGATTATTGTTTGGATGTTTGGATCACACTGTAAATAAACTGCACTTGGGTTCTTCACTACTCTCGCCTTCAGTGGACTGGATTCATTACAGTTTATTCCTTTATGTTGCGTATGTTTAATGTTGTATTATTTTATCCACTCCCAAAAATAAGATGACGTGTCTAGTTTTAATTTATTATTCACTGAAATGTATTAATATTTCATGTTTGTTAAAAAAAGTTATTAATTTAGATAAATTTAAAATTTCAGCAGCTAAATATGTATGCTAAAGCGTCATGTTTGATTACATGATTGACAAATGCTTTGCTTGATTTTAAGATGGTACATTTGGTGTGTGTGTGTGTGTGTGTGTGTGTACTTGTTTATGCTACATTGTGGGGACCAAATGTCCCCACAAGGATAGTAAAACCTGAAATTTTTGACATTGTGTGGACCGTCCTGCGAAAAAAAAAAAATAATAATAATAAAAATTGTAAATGATGTTTATCTGAAAGTGTAACAATGCAAACAGGTGTTCTGTAAGGGGTGGGTTTAGGGTTAGGGGATAGAAAATGTTGTTTGGTCAGTATAAAAGTAATAGAAGTCTATGGAAAGTCCCCACAATTCACAGAAACAAACGTGTGTAGTGCTTTAGTTTTTTTGTTTTTTTTAAAGAGGGATTAGTGCCGTAATGCAGTGCCTGAGGGCAGGCCAGCAATGGTATAAGTTGATAATGACTTTAATAGGACATGTCACAGTACCAGCACTAGCAGATGCTAAACAGTGGGATAGAAAAGAAATTAAACTATAAAGCAAAGATGGTAGATTTACAAATCGTGTGCTTCCAGGGGGTTCTGCACCAGCCAAGCATTTGTAATTTAGATGAATAAGAACGCTATAAATAGGATTAATAGGAACATGCTTTTTCCAGGCATTATAGAATGTGAAAAGGTTGCATCCTTTAGCATACAGAATATATACACATGACATAAACAGACACACACATACAGTACACACACAGTGTGACTGTTTAGGCATTGGATCATTCTTGGCTGCAGCTGCTCTTTCCTCTATTTTTTAGCATTTACAGGAACTCCTCTGGCCCAGAGAGTTTCCACATGTGTGCTGTGTGCCATTCATTGTGTGTGTTCTGTCAATTATTGGATGTGTACCTGGCTGTTATGTACATGTGCGAGTTGTTTAGATATATGCGTGTGCATTGGTGTGTTCTGTTGTGCATGTAATAATGATGAGGAGGTGGATTTTGGATGACTAATGAAATCCAAATGTGTGAGAAGTCCATCACTGTATCTTCCACATGCACAATTTGACTTCTGAATGACAGGGTTAAGTTACTAGCTTTGAACTTGTCAGCAGACATTTTCTTTCCAACACGCTTTACAGTTCACTATGCACAGGCACAGTCCATTTGTAGCTCCTGCGATTAAATATCGTACACAAGGATGACAGGATGCTAAATCTCAATTGAATTGAATCAGCAACTTTTGTGCTATCATTTTCACAGGCAGTACTGACATATTTCACCATTTACTTTACTCAATGTGCATCAACTCTGTACTGACTACTGGCTTGCAAATGCACAGACTGCAGGCTTTGAAACTCCGAAAAATACAATTACCTAAGAAGTGGCTAAATGAGACTACAGAGGATGTCAGAGACAATAAACATCACATAAACAGGAAAATTAATTTCACAAGTCTGCTTTTACGGCCTCATTGTGTTTAGAATTGTGCTCTGGCAAACTATTCTAAATCAGACTTTCTGGGAAAAAACACACACAAACACACACACACACACACACACACACAAAAGAGTTGTCGGAAGCTTAGTGATGCTCATGCTGAAGACATGTGACCTTGGTGCATTTTGTTTTTCTTCAAAATCCTCAAGTTGAACCAAGAATCATAAACTTTATTTGGTCACAGTGCTTATTTTCTGTAATAATCTAAAAGCCAGTGGAAAAATCCTGTTGGGTTATTGTCAAGGGAACCATGGTGATGCTAACTTCTGGGCTGGCCTACAAAAATACATCATCAATGCAGTGCTCTATACTTGATATATGTCTAATTTACTATAGCAACGACCTCCGTGTGAGCTGCTGTGACATCATAACCATATCACAACCACGAAAGGCAGAGAAAATTTCAGACTGCAAATACATCATAGTCAGACATGGCAAGCTGATTGTAGGTTGCACACCTGTTGTAACCTCTAGTAAAAACATGACCTGATTTTAAGCCACAAGGTTAGTTCTACCTTCCTAAAAGTGCATGTAAATATGGAAGAAAATAGAAAGCACTTATATTATCCCAAATATAAATACAACGACAGCATGTTCATCAAATTTAATGTTCCTTAAATAAACAACAGTCTTCATTATAACAGTTTTAAACTTTAAATTAAGTCTGGCATAAACAGCCTCTGGATGTTTTTTATAGTTTCGACTACAAATGCCATTCAAGTTTGCAGATACTCCACAGCTGCACTGACTTAAATATGACCACTTCCCTTCTCATTTAGCACAGTTCTTCTCTACCTCAGGTCCTTTGTGATCCTGAGTTACCACAGTATGTTTACGTCTCAGTATGAAGGCTGTCTGAAGCACAGCTGGACTAAAAGGCTCCAGTCCAGACAGAGTAAGAAGCCTGCGGCTGCCTTGCAGCTTTCTTCCACTCATGGCTCATTTGAATCTTGCTAATTTCTCATGGACAGTAAAGGGCCAAAACTCAACGGCTCCTTCAGGATGTCAGAGTCAGTTTAAGTTCAGTGTCCAGCTGATCAAACACAGAACAGAAAGGCTTGGAGCTCAGGCTAAGGGGGATGAGGCTCAGAAAGTCGAAATCACATGAAGCAGAAGACTAGAAGAACTTCTCTCAAAAATGACACACATTTATGCTTCACACAGTGTTTGATCACCCTTTAAAGCAAGAGATGGAGTTAAAGATAATAGGATCCAACCACAGACCAGGGCACCTCAGGACAGACAGACCACCAAAGAAAAGGCCACTAACGAAATAACATATGTGTGCCACTTTTAAAAAAAAAAAACATTGAATGCATGGAAATGTTTTTTTTTGTTTTTTTTTTAAATCAGAAGACAATTGACCAGCTGTGTGGTTTTCTAAGAGCTTCATTCCTCTATTCTGGGATAATTACATTTGAATAATTGGATTGTACTTACTTTGCCTGTCAGAACTAGGGGATTTCCGACCAACGTGATTAGGTGATGGACACCTTGTTGTAACTGGTGGATGGTGAAGACTGTCATGACCTTTGGTGTCTGTTGATTTGGTGACACTGATTTCAGGCTTTCTTGCTGATCCATCTGCAGGGCTTGGCGGCTCGCTTTTCCTGAAGGTGGTCTCTGGGAGTTTAGCACTGGCATGAGGAATGATGGTAGATGCTGAACGTGTGATGGGGGCAATGGTCTCCAGTGTTTTGCTGAAGGTGACTGAGTGCTTCTGCGTCTCAGGCGTCTTACTGTGGCTCAAGACATCTGGCCTCCTCAGCCCAAACCGAGCCGTGCCAGGACTAGGACACAGTAACATTTTATCTAGTTAATTTAGATCTCATTCCATCCATTACTCAAGCTATGACTAATCTGCATTATACAACAGTAAGTTCTTCAGATTGGTCAAGAGTGCTTATATTTCATATAACAGCACTGTGACTGTTTGTATCACTTTTTCACTGTTGGCATAATTCCGCTTGTCCAGCACTATTTTTGTTGGCCGAGCAGAAACAAACCAAAACAAATTGGTGTTTAAAGTCACTCAGTACTAATTTCTGGTTTCTAAAACTGTTCAGTGTGAATTCAGAAGTATTGTATAAGTTGGTGATTTCATATGAATTAGTAAAGTCTGACTTAAACAAAAATGTATGATTTGTTGACAAAATGTCACCATGAAGCTCCACCCCTAAACCCAACCCTCGGGGCAGCAAAAGTAAGTTGTACAAAAAGGAGATTGTACAAATTTGCCACCAATTGTCAAATAGTGAATACTTATGAAGTTTAACTTTTACATATAAAGTCAATATTTAAATCTCTTTTTATTTTATTTTAATATTTCTGCTCCACTGACAAATATAATTTTTAATGAACAAAACCAAAGCAGAATCAAAATCATTACGTGTCTCAGAGTAACACACAGTAGTGACTATTCCTAATGAATCGGTATTTTTGAACAAATTGGTTAAGTGGAGATTCAGTGACACACAAAAAGAAACCGACGGCTGTGTAATGCATATTTCAATCCAAAAACAGATCTAAAAACTCACCCTTAATGAAAATCAGGGGTTGCTGCTGTAAATCCTGAGAAAACTGGAACAACTGGGGCCTCATGTATAAATGTTATTTTCATGCCCATTTTGTGTGTACGCAATTTTCCACGCACATATCGGGATTTATAAAAAATAAATTAGGCATAAATATGTGCTGGAGGGAGCGAAATAACGAAGCAAACAGAATGATTTTAAAGTCTGTTTTACATTTGACATTCAAATGTAGATTAAATATGACACTCTCAATAATGAAGTTAAGCACTGAAATGTCATGAAATAATTATCCAGAAATTAACATTTTTATATGAATTTAAATATATAATATTTGCAGTACGGTTGTGCTGCTTTCGAACAATTTTACTGTGGTATGTGATTTAATGTTTTAATCACAGCAAGGATTGCTTGGCACATGACAATTCCGCTTTAAATTGTGTTCTAAATAGCAAAACTCATGTTCTGAGAAAATACTTTTGCGCGAATAATAATCATTGATGTGAATTTGACTTCGTCTGATGGCTTTGGAACAAAGATGGTAAAGACAGACATAAGGATGCGCTCTTTGATCAAACAGTCCATTGGCTGGTTTGAACAGGTTTGATGACAGTACTCTAGAACCTCTGTTCACAGGAGTCGCGCACAGACAGTAGCCTTCATGCTCTTCCCAATATTGTGACAAACACCATTGTATTTAAAAGATAGAACTTGAAGGAAAAATACTTGTGTGTTTTATTTTCAAAATGTTTTGTCGTTGACGCGGTGAGTCCGACAGTTATTTACACTGCAAAAAAATAAGGCCTATCTCTTTCCATTAAAATATATAAACATTCTAAAATATATATTTACCTTATAGGCAAAATTGCATAAATTTGATTTGTTTAAAACCATTTAAAATACTATTTGGCCAGTGGAAAAGAATGAGAGCAACACTGAAAACTTTGACTGAATAGCGTGATGTCTCAAAAAGCATTTATAGTCCATATCTCATATTTTCCTAATGTATTATAGCCTTAACTGCGTTAAACATGGTGTCACGTGGATGGAATATGCATGGAAATAATATGCAGATGAGGTTATTCATAGTAAAACTAGGCGTTGTAAGCTCCAATATATGGTGATTTCTGGGAGGAGTCGGGGTGGAGATGCACGTACACACAATCTTGCGCTGACAGGGTTTTATAAAGGGATTTTTGCGTTTGGTTTTATAAATCTGAAAACGTTTGTACGTATGCAAAATCTAGCTTTTGTGTGTACACACACTTTTAGGATGAAATCTGCGCAAAGTTTTATACATTAGGCCCCTGGACTTGCAAGACCAATGCAGCTTTACACTTTCATGTTCTGACTTTTGAGCAATATTGAAACCAGTCTGCTAAGAGGCTAGAGTCTAGTCTTATTTTATTTTATTCTGTTTGTGAACTACAGAGCTTACTTTTCATCTCTCACTTTTACCACAGCAAGACCACACAGCTGGAATTGCTAGACAATGCCACACAAGGCAATTTTGGTTTTACCAATAAAATCTAGTAACTGACAGGGACATTGTGTCTATACATGTGACTATACATGTTTTAGTTTTTTTACCTGGGAGAGCCTTCAATAGCTTTGCCATTGTTGTTGGATGAGATGTCAAAGCCTAGCTCTGTTCTACGTGACACAGGTTCAGGGGTTCGAGCTTTGGGCTTTGAGGTGTCAGGGGGCTTGGTACCATTGGAGGCCAGCTCATAATACCGTCCGCTGGTCGGGGACATGGCTGAACGCTGAACATTGGATGGTGCTCGCCGTGTGTGAGGCGATGAAGAGTGCGAGGAAGAGTCCACATCTTCCACTTCAAATGAGCGTTTCAGGGCTGCAGGAAAATGACAAATTAGAAAACCTTCAGCTTGGAATTTATTGTGTTAAATTCCTAGATTTATCTTCTGTAGTTAACACATGCAGATCTAACCATCATATTCTAGAGAAAGATTTGAGGTTTAAAATACAAATCATGTAAATAATACAAAAGAAGCCATTCATTTGTACTCAACCTAACAATTATATTTTATAGTGTTAGTAAAGTAATGGAAAGCTGAGGGCATCCAGACTGTGAGGCACGTCGCCCAAACCCACAGCAAATATTCTGCAGATGGTAAAAGTGACATGGTAACCAGGGTGCACTTATCAGCCCAGAAGGATTATGAAACACCATTTTATGTTATAATGATTTTTCAGTGGGGTGGAACAGCCAAATTCAGAGCTCTGGCCAAAGACTGGACCTAAAACAGCAACAGTGTGTACAGAAATACACTTCATTAGATATCAGCGATTGTAAAAGTAAGCAAAATATTGGATAACAGCTGAAATATAAGCAGAAATAACAAGCACAATATACTCAGTTTATCCTTGAAATAATTACTAGGTAGTTCAACTTTTCTCAGATGGTCCAATTTGATTTGCTGGCCTAAAATGGGGAGGTATGCTTTTGCAAAACAAAAATTACATATTAAATATGAAAAATATTAACAACAATATTATTGTTGTGATATCAAACTGAAGATGTGGTAAATCAATTTGTGCTTCCTTTCCTCATCAATTCACACCTTATGCTAAAAACCATCACTTGGATATGAGATATTCAAACTGTAAATTGGACAGTAGAGGAATAGGAATTTAATTTTCATACTCTCTCAGGCACTTGCAGAAAAAACAAAAAACAGATAATGTTCATTGTTCTGTTAATAACTTTTTGCCACACATGGCAATAGCGAATATGTGAGTATAACTGTCCATGAAAATTATCAGGTCATACGACATCAGTAACATGACCTGTTGTAAAGTGTGCTGTTTTTTCATGCTTGTCTGAATGCAGATGTCCTGTTTGGTGGCAGTGCCAGCATCACTGTTGGAGTGTTGAAGGTCACAGAATGTCCAGAGGAGCTGCCCTGGTTCTGTTATTTAATTAAGCATTTTAGTTGATCTTCTAAGACATGACGGATGAACTGGTGGCCAAAGGCTTTAAAGCCTAAATGTTGTGTGTGTGTGCAATTATAAGTGTAATAAAAGCAGCAATGCTGTTATTCTTTATTCTTTCCTCTTTAATGTATTATTGTCTGCACCAACACCTGCTGACAGTCAAATCAAGCTCACCATGGACTGCAATCCAGTTCACTCAGACAGAACAACTGGACACTCTTCACTTCTATAGAGCTCTCTCTATATCTGCTTAATTCATATGCAATTGCAAATATATAAAATCTAATTTCCACCACATAAAAAAAGTCAAAATTATAAGATAAAAAGTCTAAAAGTCTAAGCCATAATTATGACATAAGGTTAAAATCATCATTATGACTTTTTATGTCATAATTATGTCACAACTGACTTTTTGACAAAACTTTGATTATAAATTTTACATAATAATTATTACCTTTTCCTCAAAAGTTTGACTATTTATCTCATAAAAATAGTTGCCTTACTAATTCTTTTTTTTTATGTGGTGGTAATGGGCTTCCATACAAATAAATCTCATTAGTATACAATATCTGATTAAGTTGAAAGGGACTTGCGTCTTTTTGTGGATGTATGTTAGATGGCATAGTTTCAGTTTTACTCTTGCTATTTTTATATTCTGGTTAAAAAATAGCCACTGACAAAATACAGGCCTACACCCTTTCAAACTGCTTTGGCTAAAAAATCATCTCACGAGAACATATGATGTGCATTATGGATGCTGTTACTTGACCATGCAACAACTGCCAGTCTTCCTTTTGAAGGAATCAATTCTTTGAACGGAAATTTTAATGCATAATGGAAGACAGAGCTAGAACTCTTGAGCTGACATTTATTTTGCCCTTTTAATTTAATGGCATCCGAATAAATGGTTAAACACAAGATTTGCTGAAAAACAGTTACATTTTCTCACACTAACAGCTTGATAGTAAAGTTAATACCAGTCTGTAATAAACTTTAACAATTGAATAAAATCTGAACTGCTCATTTAAGTATCTTACTCACTTCCAGTATATGTTTTATAATCAAATCTGGATATGTGAACATGGTCAGAATAAAACTTACAGTCCAAAAGAGATCACAAGCATGTCCAAACCACTCTGCCACTGGATTCAAAATCCCACCACCCAGTTGTTTATGACTTGCAAGAAAATACAATCTCTCTTAAAATGGGCCAGATATTCCAGACAAAAACTTTCCCAGATACATGTACACGAGTTTGCCAAAGTGCCTGCAACAGTCACAGTGCTTTTGAAAGTCCCTTAAGAGATTCTCACACTCAGTAATGAACACAAAACAGTTAAGAATTAACAAAACATACAATATACAGTACTTATAAATATTCTATGTAGCAGATGATGTTGTTTGTCACTCAGCACGCACCGATAATCTGTCCTTATTTGTGTTTTCTTTGTTCAACTGCTTTATGCTCATGTGAACTTGGGAGTTTATGAGAAAAGCAACAGTTCATTAACAGCTTCAGTGGGAAAAATGAAAGAACATCGGGAACCTTCCATGATATTCATCTTCTGCTCTGCAAAGTCACAAACACTTGTCTGCAAAGTCACAAACACTTGTCTTTTTATTACATGAAGGTCACAATAAACATTGTAGACTGTATTGAACTGTATTCACACTTACTATTGTATTTACCCTTGACTTTCAGTATAAAATGATTATAATGACATTTTAAAAGCCATTATATCCTAAACAAGAGTAAGTAAAAGTGCAACAAACATTATTAATGAAATATGAGACTTGCTATTTATGAGGAATATATCACTTGTGAACACTTGTGAATCATTTAAAGCTTTTATTTTGTCAAAGTATGCAAAAAGTGTGAAAATATAATTTAACTGTTTGTATTTATAATACATAAAATGCTACTGCATAAGTTATTTTCACAACTGTCATTTCGTGTCATGTACTAAGTTAATCTAAATGACATTTGTACATGTGGGTTCAGAAAAAGAACTCAGCTGTGATGCATGTATATTCACTGCTGAACTGGACTGGACAAATGAAATAAACTAGTGAGAATGTGAAAAGTGTGTTTTAAAGGAGTTTATTCTTAAAAGTCCATGGGGTCAAAAGTGCCCTTACCTGAAGTAACACCCATTTATACAATAATGCTATTTACATTAACTATTACCCAATTTTCTTGAGGGTATAATAAAACTTCAGAGATGCACAACCCATAGATCAGCCTTTCAGAAACCTGCTCAGACAGCTGTTTGTGTACTAAAACGATTTGCTTTTAAACGTTATATGGTTCAGTGCTGTATCTTCAGCTGTTTGGTTGGGCCAAGTATAGCCCAAGAGATCCTTTTGGCTTCAGTTTCTGAAGAAAAGCCAGCATGCTTTTGAGGGATTATGGGATCACTCCGTTTGTCCATCCCACGCACCTGGAATTAAAGTAAAAAACAGAAAAAAATAGGAACCGCAAAGAGGAAATCTATGCCAGAACAATACGTATGCGAGCCTGTAGTTGTTCATAGATATCCTATAATAAGCTCTTACTTCCATTATAATCTACTGTTCTCAGAAGCAACTGCTCTTAAACCAATTCAGAAATACTCACAAATAAATGCCAGGCTGAACTAAGTCTGATCCAACAGACCTATGCTACACACACAAACAGATATAACTGGACAGAGAGGAAGGGAAATGTTTGGAAACTACCTGTATTCAATTTCCAAAGCAAGAAAATGTAAATGGATTAAAAGCTACATTATACCTTCAAAATCTGATATAAACTCCATCCAGGTGTGTTATCAGTGAAGTATTTCCTTGTGCTCCCAGCATCAAGCAAGTCACCCATCAAAACAAATCCCAAATTTGAGGCCTTTGTTTGTAAAGTAAAGCCTGAATATCAGCAGTGAGTATCAGAAAAGTTTCTACACGAGCTGCTTTTAAAAGACCAAAAATTATGCACTGGTTAAACATTCACTAATGATATAAACTCCATCCAGGTGTGTTATCAGTGAAGTATTTCCTTGTGCTCCCAGCATCAAGCAAGTCACCCATCAAAACAAATCCCAAATTTGAGGCCTTTGTTTGTAAAGTAAAGCCTGAATAGCAGCAGTGAGTATCAGAAAAGTTTACACAAAGTCTACACAAGCTGCTTTTAAAAGACCAAAAATTATGCACTGGTTAAACATTCACTATTTCATCACAAAACACAACTACTTTTGAATGGTCGTCAGTGGGGAAACCTTTTCTCCTGCAAAATAGTGCTGTGTTAGTTTGACCATGCTAAACTGTTAAACCCACCATACTAGACACCCAGCAGATGTAAAATAAACTAAGTGTAAACAAGCAATTAGATTGTTTAACTAACAAATATCTAAACACAGCTATATGGCAAAAAAAGTTAAACTTTTGAAATCATTTGACTTGAAGTCCCTAAGTCTCTCTCCTGAGCAGCGCATAATCATTCGATTTAGAACCAGACCAGCATATGTTAAAGCAACCAACCTTCATTGGAGCTTTATTTTTCTTGGCTTTCTAACTAGGCCTGTGTTGGGGCTCATGACAGCTTTAGGGCAGACCATACATTAAGATAGACTTATATCTCCAGTCCCTTCATAGTATCACAGTATCCTAGCATCAGCTTTCATTTGTTTCATTCCTCAGAAAAGGGCTTAGTGAAGGGAGTATGGTGTCAATTAGAAGCCAACAGAAAACAGGCCATAATTTGAAGAAAATGTATAATAATAATAAAAATGTTGCCAACATAAAAGATCAGAGAACCTTCTGAAACCAAAGGGGTTATGTGCAGCATTTGCCCACAAAGCATGCAATGATGCACTTTTGGAAAATTTACTAGTCGCATAGTATGCCAGAAAATTTGTGAAGTTA